GATGCGGCTCAGGGTGGGGTATGCGTACTCTGTGCTGATCCACACCCTGCAGAAGTTCTCCACGGTGTGGGGGCAATGCAGAGTGTTGTGTGAACTGGCCGATGATCAAAGTCTAGTGTTGAAAGTATGATGTGCATGGTGAATTTGTGGACTGATATCTTTTGTTTTATCTCTTTATTTTTGTTATTTTTTATTTTTTCTCATATTTTTTCATCTATTTTTTTGAGTAAGGATTAATTGTGCATTTGTGTTAATAAAGAAATTTTTAAAAGTCAAAAGTAAAAGTCTCTCAAGCTTTGCGGTTCTCTCTCTCTCACTCTCAAGCTTTGCGGTTCTCTCTCTCTCACTCTCAAGCTTTGCGGTTCTCTCTCTCTCNCTCTCAAGCTTTGCGGTTCTCTCTCTCTCACTCTCAAGCTTTGCGGTTCTCTCTCTCTCACTCTCAAGCTTTGCGGTTCTCTCTCTCTCTCACTCTCAAGGTTTGCGGTTCTCTCTCTTTCTCTCTCTCTCTCAAACTTTGCGGTTCTCTCCCTCTCTCTCTTTCCCTCAAACTTTGCGGTTCTCGACAGGCTTCCAAATTCTGGTCGCCATGGACACATGAAGCAGGCGACAGGCCACAGGAATGTCTTCATACTCGGGCTGGCTAAGCTGGCTCCTTCTCGTCATTGTTTCAGCAGCTGAATGAGAATCACGCCCTCACTGTGTGCCTTCGCACTTACTCAGGTACGCCCGCTGCCAAGGGGCAGGAGGGAGACTGAACGAACCCCCCCAGTACCCAGAGGACACCCCCAAGAGCACCCCCCAGGAGAGCCAGCATGGGCAATTTCCCCACGATTATCTTCTCTAGACACAATTCATAAAGCATTAGCACCGCACATAAAACTAGTCCTATCAGTATTCTCTGCAGATATACTGTAATACAGGAACACGGACTCAATGAAACACTTTTGATTGGCTGTCTCCCCTACAAACCAACCAAGTGATTTAATTCCGCTGTGACCTCGACTGTCAGCAGACGCCGTATTTCACATGAAAGGCAGAAGCTTCCGGGGGCAAGGTGGCATCAGAGGAGCCGAAATGCAAGACGTACGAGGGGTCATGTCCGAGCGATGTCTGGAGAAAGGCCTGATTTATAATAGGAGCAGAAAAAACAGGAATAAATCATAAACCCTCTATTTTCGGATGCCCACAGAGACCTTTGAGTGATGAATTTCTCTGCTCCAACCTGCATCCACTCCTTGGTAGGGCAATAACAGGGAGCACTTGGGAATGAGACAGTCTTCCAGACGGACCTGTGTGAGACCCGGCATCACGGCCAGGTCAGTAGCACGCGGGCGGCCACCTGGCCATTCTCTGAAGAGCTGAAAGTCAACATACCAACTGGTGTTGACCTGGGTCTGCTATAATACACCTTTCATCAACTTTAGCTCTTCAAATAAAGACTTGCAACCAACAATCCTAAAATACACTTTCAGCCAGAGACGCCAGAAGCTCTCGGCTTGCTTTCTGCCATGTGTATATGTTCATCTGTGGCTGCAGGTCACTGACGGTTTCCCCATAACATGATTCGGAATCCAGCTGAAGCACGCAATACGCTAAGGAACTTGTACCATTCTACACACTGACCTGTTGGTCACTTTAGGCACTTTCCCACCAAAATTCCAGAACCAGGATCCTGGTTCCAAGTTGCTGGGCCATCTTGACTGGGAACTTTTGTAGTTCCTGGCCACTTTCAAGTGTCGCTTTCCCACTGCACAACAAGAACTGGGACCGTCACGCACAGGAGATGCAAAAAACTCGTAGGATATCAGGTACATAATTTTGTACCTGATAAAACTACACCGGCACACCAAAACAATGGAGAACCACTTTTACTGTTGTGAGCTTTGAGTGTTTTTTTTGTAGTCCTGATTCATTTTTTCCATGGCATTGTTGTGGTGTGGGTGATCCCCAGCCAAACGCGTTGACACCTCTGGATAAACTTAATCATTTTGCTTGCAGGAATTCAAATTCTCTCTGTATATCATCTTCTGAATAAAAGCTCAACAATGCCTGCACATAATCATCTGTCCATTTGCACACTCTTCCCTTTCTTCTATTAGTAAGAGTTTTGTTGCTCCATATAGAAAAGAAAAATCGATAAGTATTTCTGTCAAACTCAAATCTGACACCGGTGCTTGTGGTGAACCAATCAGCAAGTCATCGCTGTAGGCACCACCCTGTAGTTTGTGATCAGACAAAAAGTACCTAGTCTGGAGTAGGGACTAAAAAAAAGGGTTCTCTGAGGAACTACAATTGGTCCGAACTACAATCTTCCTGCGGTGGAAACGTGACAGAAAGTCCTTGTTCTGGTTCCTGAAAAAGTTCCTGCGGTGAGGAAGGGCCTTTTGATTTAAGGTGTCCCATAAAGAACAAGTGCTAAAGGGTCAACGTAATGGTGCATGTGTCACATAACCATGCCGGGTCCCGCTTGACAGAAACCCCTCGGGCACCGACCCAGAAACGTGCAGGAGAGATTTATGCACGTGTTAGCGCCGTGTCATTCCGGCAAAGCACAGCTATTCAGGACGGGAGGAGGGAAAGGGTTATTTTGGCACAGAAGACACCTTTATAAGGAATTAGGAAGGTAAAGTGACAGGCCCCACCTAATGGGGGTGATGAGTTTCATGACAACTTACAGTCAGGATGTTTTTATAAAACCAGAATTGTGAAGAACTCGTTCTTCGGGACGGCGACCAGATCTGCCCAACACTGGAGGATGGATGGAGCATTATCAACGTCCTCAAGGCATAAATGGGTGGGAGGGCCAATCAAAACGTACGAAAACAGCAGTCTGGCTTTGTCACCGAAACCTAGCAGAAACAGACCCCCCCACCCCCCACCCAAGACCTGGTCACTGCTGCTGGTCTGCCTCCCACCCTCCCAGAGCGAAGACACACTTTATACTCATACCATTCGATCATAGGTGAGCAGGGGGGGGGTATTTTCCTGTGACACCACCTCCCCCCCGAAACAACCATACCCTCCTAGTCTCACAGGAAGCACTGTCATATTAACACGGCAGTATGTGTGATTTAGCAACTGTACCGTGACAAAACAGCCGTTAGGAGTATTATTTTACGACTTCCCATCCTTAAACAACTTCAGCTCAACAGGAGAATAAGCACTGTGGAATGCTGGGACATTCTGAACTTTGACTCAGCCTGGCTGTAGGGGGGGGGAGGGTTATGAACTCACAATAACCTAGTCCTACACAGGACAATCTTCCCTTGATAAAAACTCTCTAGATTAATTCTGATGACAGGCTCCTCAAAAAGACTCCAAGCTATTAAAACTAAAGAAATACTTTCCCCTTTACAGTGAACTTAGGCCTGTTTGTGACAGTTTAGCAGGAATTTAAAAATGCAGATTTGTGTATGACTGACAGAGGCAGGAAATTTGGAGGAGGGGAGGCAGGAAATGGCCCCCAAACTGGGAGAGTGGTAGCTCATGAACAAACAAGGCAAGTGAATCACAGCTTATCACTACTATTTATAATGTGCCATGACACACGTGTGTCTGGAATTAAGATCTACAGCATTCCACACCAAGATATTAATGGATGCTCGGTTGTCACAACATCAGGCTCTTACAGACGGAAAGACGGACGGCATTACGTCATCCATTCCGTGCAGCACAAGGTTCCGGGAATTACACCGGTAAAAAGAAGAAAAAAACCACACAACAACAAAGGCGGTACGTGTATGAACCTGCAAATTGTCGCCTCTTCAGTACTGAGCAAGAATGACATCACCGCGCTGTGCGGGGAGCGAGCGAGACAATGAACGGGTGAATAGAGTGAACAGCACAGCAAAAAGTGCAGCACTGCAGAGAGTCCCTGACAAAATCCATTTTTTCAGCTCAGTCAGCCTCAGGACTGTGATTGCACACACAGCGGTGTTCGGTGTTAAGCCCACTTTAACGACATTCACTCTAAATCTATCATAAATTTATCATTTATTGAAATTATCTGTGCAAGCGTCTGAGAAATGGGATTAACGCGCTGGCACATTTTATGCCGCCCCGTTTTTATTTTAGGACAGGCACACTGCAGGCAGCCGGCTGGGGCCAAGCCCAAACGCCACTGGAGCAGCCGGTGCTCAAACGACCTGTAAATGAAATGCCAGCGCCGCTGCTGGGTGTGATCGCGGCTGGCAGACAGACCCGAAACAGGTCGGGAAGTCAGGACGACGCCTGTACCCACCCCCACGTGGTTAGACAGTTTTCCTAATATGAGTTTCAGGACATTATATGTAAATGATGCTAACTGACCTTTGCCGTCATGTCACTGGTCCCCGTAGTGCATTCAGGCAGCATCACGGCAGGCAAACAGCTTAAACACCCCCCCCAAAGTCCTCATCCTGTGAGCCGCGAACATCAAGCCCTTAATGAATGTCGGAGCGGAAACCCCCCCCCTGCTGCAGGCGCTGGCGACGGGCAAGTAATTACGGTAATTACGCAAATTAGTACAAGACCTCAGAAGCACAAACAGGTGTGTGTGAGAGAAAGACGGCGTGCAGCGCTTGACGGGAATCCCACCCACAATCCCTCAAATACCCCAAAAACACTTTATATAAAAACCATAAAAAGCACATTATATGTCTTTATTTGCCCATGATGTCATTGAACAACATCTTAGATGAAACTGCCACACCCTCTGTCACTACAGGCCACACCCTAATTCACTTCAGGCCACACCCTAATTCACTTCAGGCCACACCCACTCTCACAGACTAGGTCCATACAGCAAGCAGAGCTGCACCCATCTGTACCCATAGGGCCACTGCCAGAACCTGACTACAACTGTTGCCAAACCTAAAATGTGCTACAGCTCCACAACACAAAGAGCCCTTTTAGTTCTTCCTTCACAGATACTCCATCGCCCACGTGGCACACGCTCGTAAACCCCAGCTAGCACGGCTAATCTCGGCGGCTACACGTGGCGGCGGACCGGCGGTACTCACTCATGGTGGGAGCCCAGGGCACAGGTGAAGTTTAATACAGGTGAGCTTGCTGGTCACTGGTCCGCTCCTGGAGGCAGTCATGACCTGCGCAGGGAACACACACAAGTGAGGGTCCTGTGGCTCTGGGACACGACTCACAGGCGTTAATAAACATCTACCGCCGGGGAAACAATTAAGAGACCACAGCACAATTTCTTGTTTCACTCATTTCTCAATTTATCGGTGTGCGTCTGTGAATTATATTTTTTTGCAAATTGCAAACTGCAGCCTTGTGGTCTGTTTGTCATCAATGAAGCGCTTCTTCCTCGCTTTATGGAACTTCCTGCTTCTAGGAGACTGATATGAACTGACCTACCAGTGCACTTCACACCTGCACCTGCATTTTGTTTGAAAGTCACTTGATTCATCCTCCGATTTACGAGAAACTGTCAGATAAGTTGATGGTCATCGCTGGCATTAGAAAGTCACCTCTGCCCCTGGTTCATGGTCGTTCCCCCGTGTCTCCTGCTTCACGTTATTCTTGCGTACTGCTGCCTTAGAAATGTTGAACCAGGAAGCAAACTGCTTCTCAGCGTAGCCTTCTGCCAGCCGTACCACGATTAAACCAGGATTTAAAATGCAGATTTGTTTAAAATTGTAGAGTGGTCTCTTGATTTTTTACCACAGCTGCATATGGAAAATCAGAGCAAACTGCTGTGCAAGCTGACGCTTAGATAGCACTCAGATAAATTACATTGGGGTAGGCAACGCTAACCGTAATGAGTTACTATCTGCCTGAGGTCAGGTGTGGTTCAGCAGAGAACCGGTAGGATGGAAAACTTGGTGGATACCGTCAGTCCAGGATCAGGGTTGCCTACCCCTGGATTAGACGGACTGACATATTGTATTGATCCCAAGGGGAAATTTAGCTGCATAGTACAACAAAGGAAACAAAGTGCCCAGATACAAAGGCACACCCCCCCCCCCCGAACCCGCACACACACGAGCGCAGTAAATGACCGTAATCTGACAAAGTGGAGCCGCCGTAATCTGATAGCTCAGAAAAGCGTCCTTGAGGAGCAGTGAGGTGAATTACTGTAATTAGAGGATTTCTGCACAGATGAGGGGCAGCTCTCTGCCCGCACGGGGCTGAAATCACCACGCCACGCGCTGCAGACGGATGGTTCCGGAATGGCGGCGGCGGTACTTTTATGAACAACACAAAAAGGCGAAATGGACAGAGAAGTACAAAAATACATTAGGAAGACAAAAAAAAAAAAGGAATAACACATGTTTTCCCACACTTATTTTACTCATTTTAACTTAATTTAATTTTGCTCCTGGCTTTCTAAAGCCTTACAAAAACACATCCATGGATGAGTGCCGACCACTGGAGGACTCAGATGCCTTTCTCCACCTATCAGAGGGCAAAGTACTCCAAAGGCGAGAGATGATCTGAGCCGTATCTACTGGGGTCACGCTGTCTGAACACAGAATTGTCAACATGCAGGGAAGCTGCCAGCGATACGGAGCCCCTAATCCAGACCAATAACATTATATTCCAAATGTTTTAGGGCCCCTGTCAACATGCCGCCAGGAGCAGATCAATGAGGTTTTGGACCCGACTTTTTTTTTACCACATCTGACAAGAGTACTGCACATGGCCTTTCGTTACTGACTCTCTGCCTTCGTGTTGCGGTTCCACAACCTGCATCTGCTGGGGTCTGATAAAGGTGGTCTTTCTCAAGTGCCAAATTGGGCTAACACAGGGCAAGCAGACTGCCAGACACAGGGCAAGCGGACTGCCAGACACAGGGCAAGCGGACTGCCAGACACAGGGCAAGCGGACTGCCAGACACAGGGCAAGCGGACTGCCAGACACAGGGCAAGCAGACTGCCAGACACAGGCAACATCTGGACATACAGGGTCTAAGGGGTCTAGTGTTCCTGTGTGTGCGTTTGTGTGGACAGGATACTTTCAGAGCAATCCATCTTTTAGTGCTAATCAGCACTGCCTTGACATGAGCCTTTCCCATAATCCCCTAGTGCTGTTGCAGCACAATCCCAGGATTTGGCTGGGGTTTAGAGTCTGCTGTTGGTGGGGGGGTGGGGGGATGTGGAAATGGGTGGGTGGTAGGCTTTTATCTTTATTAGATTTGAACTTTTTTAAATAGAATATGTCACTCCGAATCTTGCAGTCTTGGGAGAGCAAATACTTGGGGTTTAAACCGAAGGTACCTACCTCCTGTACTTCCCAGAGGACTACAATATATCATCCCACAGACCCTGACTTGCCTTGAGCTGTCCCGATTTTCACGTGGGGACGAGGGTTCTTCCGCTAACTACCATGGAAGATGCGTGCTGACATCATCACGCAGCAGCGCCTGACTAACAGGTGCTGTCATTACCCATCAGCACACACGGCGTGACTAATGTGTACCCAGGCACGGAAAGAGAGGGTGTGCCAGACTTCGGGACATTACCTAGGTACTCACATGCACAGTCTTGCTGCATAATTGCTGGTGTCTAAATGCAGTCAGTTTAGGGGTATTTTGTTAAATATGGTTAAAGTCAGAACATCTGATAGGCACTTGGACATTTCTAAGACGATTATCCAGCAGCACAAGTGTAGGTAGCATGTAATGGCAGTTTAAAGAGCATTGTCGATTTTTAATTAACATTAACTTTTCAACGTTAGAAGTTAAAAACACATTTATTTACAACGTATACGTATTTGTCTCACTTTTATGTCGCTTTTCAGAAAAGGGTCTACTAAATAAACAAATGTCATGTAACGTTGATATGTTTTATGCGAGTAATACAAATGCAGCGCAATGCAACCGAGACAACAACCCGAAAGATTTCCATGGCAAAACGCGGCGACGGCACAGGAAAGCGGCCGGTCTGTTTGCGTGCTCCGATGCGTGGGGGCCATGCCGCGCGGACGGGGGCACCCGTATTCATATGTCGCTACGGCACGAATGCGTTAAGCCGCATTATTAAAAGGTAAATACCGGATAAGGACCGGCACGGAGAATTAAAAACACCAGCAATGTCAAGTTTACGATTAATGTTCTCATGCATAAAAGAGCCGGCGTGTTTCTGCGGCATGCAGCGACCCAGCAGATTGAAGCAATTTGACGCATGTTATCTTTAATTCACTCGTAACAGAATCGCTAGAGACGAACTCAGATACCCCCCACCCCCCCCCAACTACACTCCTACGTCATTTTGACCGACGGCAGAGTGCAGCCAATGACAGCACAGAAGATGTGCTCGGCAGCCAATCGAATCGCCCGGTCGCCCGTCTTGCGTGATGCGTAAAGAGAGGCTCAGCTCTGCGTGGGGGGGAGGTGGTGGTGGCGGTGGCGTTGGGTAGCGCTTGTAGGCCGCAATGAATACGGATCGTTATAAAGTTTCCGGTGCCTCAATTCACATTTAAAGACCCGCACGATGCCGAAAGCGCAAAGCGGCCCTGGCCGCGCACCTAGGGCTCCGAGGGGGCGCCAAGCACCGACAAATAGCGAAATAAGGCGGCATTGCCGCTTAAAAGGGTCCCCGGCGATCCAGACTAAGCAGGCGCAGAGTGTTTCCAAAATGTGCGAAAATGTTTCCCCGGCGAGGGGAATGCCCGCCGTGCGGGCTCAGTGTGTGCTGGGAAACACGGCACGTCCAGATAGCTCACATCGGGATGAATAAAGCGGCCGCCAGTTACCTTGATCTACAGCGCCCGCGTCCGCCTTCTGCACATCGTCCGGAGAGTTTGTTTTGTCCCCCTTTCGAACCAGAGGCGAAAATTCCCATCGATCCCACACCAGGAAGTCCCCGCCGTCCGGGCACATTTGAGCGCACGGCCAGCTCGCCGTGGACGCCGCTGCGGGGCGCGTTGTAATCGGTCCAAGATCCAGGTAGCAATGCGCCGCCAGCTGGTCTTATCCCGCCGGCCGTACTGGGTCGGGAAAGGCGCTGCGGCAGAGCATGTCAGTGTGGAGCCGGGACTGTGCTGTGTGATCCCTACCTGTAGGTCGGGACTGGCCGCACGCCTGCGTCAGCGACCCAGCCTTCTCCGCGCACAGGCAAGGTGCTGCCTGCCTTCGCGGGGGTGTCAGTAATGAAAGTTTACGCATTATCACACCATTGTTACTTGTCCTCAGAATCCGAAATTTCCCTGTCACATTAATAACTCCGTTAATACACGATAAAAGTTCCGAATGCCTTTATCTGACTGAGTTACTATTTACCTCGTGAGGGAGTACTTAATATACTAAGGCACAGTAAAAAAAAATAAGACTAGTGATGCGGTTGTGCTACTTTAAAGGGAAATGTATTTTGAGAGATTATTTGCTGCTGAGGAACACCGTTTACAGCACTTTGAGAAGTTGTAACATGAGTCCTGATTACTCGACGGAGGCACCGCAGAACACACGGCTCACTGTCGAAATATGGATGCGTTTTTCGGTCTTACGAGCGGTGTCCCCACCCATGACACCCTCGTCATGGCTTTATATGATTTCATCGCAGCTCATTAATTTTCTTGAAGTTTACCCAAAGTAGTATGGCGTTTTCCAAAATGTCTGTGTACTAAGTTAGGGCATTGTACCAGACGTGGCCTGTGCCACCGTGTGATTGTGCCAGACGTGGCCTGTGCCGTCCTGTGATTGTGCCAGATGTGGTTGGTGCCCTCCTGTATTTGTGCCAGACGTGGCCTATGCCACCCTGTGATTGTGCCAGACATACCCTGTGTTGCCCTATTGCTGTGCCAGGTCTTGCTCCTGTCCCCTCCACCAAATCCCTGATGGAATCTCTACTTGCTAGGATCAAGTTCATGAACCTGGGTAATGACTTTGTGCTGTCTGGCTTTGGGAAACACTGGGTCACAAGAAAATTTAGCTCATTGTTGTACCTAAAATTGAGGTCAATGTTTTGTAATTACTGTATTTGGCATGGATTTCCCTGACAATAAGTGTGCTTTCTGCCTGCTCATTCTGTTTGAGTGGTTCGATGAGAGTCACCAGAAAGGTTCTTCAGAGGAGACGTTCACCTTCACCCCAAAGGTCAAATTTGACATATTACAAAATCAGCTTTCAGGAGGGTCTTTGGTGCTGCTGAGGGAATCTTTTTTCTGAGAAACCCCCCTGGTGCAAAAAACAATCCTGTGAAAGCAGGTCACTTTAGATTAAGGATGTCGATTTGTAATCCTCAGGTTCCAGTTCTGGCACTTAAGTGGCCTAGATATATTGGCATAAAAATGTCAGCGTGCAGTGAAAATATCAACCTAAGTAAATACACAAAAATGTCCGTGGATCAAATAAATGTAAACAAACAGGATCTGTGAGACAGAAGCTAAACCCAGGAGAGAGCAGTGACAGATGTCTTCATCCTAATTAGCTTTGCTCTTAAAGAGAATGCGGCACACATCTTTAGCCTGGGAGTAAGCGCTCGCGTCAAACAGCCCCTGAGGAACCTCCTGGCAGGACAGCAGGAACCAGAAGGTCCTCTAGCTACCAGACGTTAAAAATGAAATGAACTTTCAATTAGGACAGAAAATAGACATTCGGAAGTCGCTAAGTGTCAAATCGAGCAGTGTGAGAGGAAAATGAGGAACACAAAGGCAGGGTAATGGGAGAAGATTCATTCTGAATCTTTAGTTACATAATGCTCAAAATTCACTGTAAATTTTAAGAATGTGCAGTTTAGAAGCACTCAGCAGATGACCTCAGAACAGGGGTGCGCAAGCCGTCGATCGCGACTGGGAGATTGCGAGATGATGGATGATGCCTGCTTTCATTGGTGGTCAAATGGTAGATTGCGACACGAAAAACATACCAAGGGTGACCATCCCCGGTCGCGGCAAAATACACCGCCGCGATTCGGTGATTCGTCAGGGTACTTTTCGTTGTCAAAGTAGTAAAAAAGATTGGGCACCCCTGCTTCACAACATTCACCTGTAATCTAACAGGCGATGGCCCCACAATCCGCAGGAGGGGATATTCTGTTTTACTCTTGAAGAGGTAACCTTATTAGCTTTTTTTTTCAGATTAACTAATATAACTGCAGGTTTAGGTAAAATTGCGAATTGTTTCCGCCTACGTAACACTTGTTTTCTATCTGTCTTTATGGTCTTACAATTAAAAGACAAAATTATTAGCCTAAATATAACAATGAGAAATTACTATCGTTTTGCTTTTTGAGAAAAATAATAGTATTATCATACAGTATTTGAGTTACGATACCGGTCTCATTTCGTCGCTAGATGGCAGCAAAGTCTATTTTGACGAGATCCTGCAGCCCTAGCGGTCGGCGCTGTAACTCAAACCATAAATAAGGCATGAGTACTGCGTACCGAGAAGAGACTGACGTTAACGCGCACTCTGAGCCTATATTAATTAACAACTGACCTTTCAGCCGTTATTAGTCATATGCTTCACTGGTTTAACAGGATTGAAGATACATTATTTAGTCGTAAACTTCAGGTCTGTCACCAAGGAGCACCCGCGATGAATGTTTTGAGATGAAGGTTATTTGGTAGAAGCGTAGTATTTGAACTGGCGGTAAATCAGTGGGGGGGCGGGTCAGGCTCACGGGGAGGGCCCCGCTTGTGCTTCCCCGAAGGGGGTCGGGCTGAAGCGTATGGCGCCTGTTGTGCAGATCCGGCGTTCCTTAATATTTTTAGACGGCTGGACATCAGCGGTGTATCGCTTCTCGCCGGTTCTTTGAACGAAACATGAAACGTAGAAAGGCCAGGGAGATTGGGTTTCTTTCAAACACCGAGGAAATGGCGGATCCAGCGCTGGTTACGAAACGACGTTTAATAGCAAATGGACCGGAGCCACCCGCTGGGCGTTTCAGAAGAAATAAATTGGCAAACGAGATCCAGAGGTGACATGACTTCACGTTGATGTTGTTTACGGCGGAGCGCAGGCTGCGGGTCCGGATCGTACACTGGGTGTCGGATTGGAAGTTTAGAGTATGTATGCCGACAGGACACAATAGGGTTAAACAAACATAGGTGACATTAAGCCTGGAGCCTGACTCGTTTTGTGGTCACTCTGAAAACAACTTGTTTACGCGTAGTACTCAGATCCGTACCCTCTCCTCCACCTGTTGTACGATGCATCCGCTCGCACAGGTTTAGCCAGGCATCACATTTAATAGATCACACGTATAATAATAATAATAATAAACTGCGCCTTTCCGGTCTCTCTTAGTAGCTTCGTGTTACTCTGAGCTATTTATGCAAACGTTCACAGGCTGGTTATAAATGGCCCTAACACGTCTAACACGAAATAACCAAACAACTGTTACATTTTGCAATGTTACAGTACAATAAAATATTTTACTCAGGCAGTGTTATTAATGTATACTTTCACTACGAAATGGTGGGAGTTTTGCTTTGATGCTATGTTTACGATGTTTTCCGTCTGGTATTCCTGTGCCCACAGCATGTGAACAGATTGAATGACGGGTTTTCACAGGACTCGGTTTAGTAGGAGGCACTAAATGCAGAGTATTGACATACTAGAAGGATATTGATCGAACGGACATCATATGCGACATGACTGCCCATCAGGGTCTCAGGCCTAAGCCGCGTTAGTATTCTCTCGCATAAACTCAGTACAATTTGCAAAGATGAGTTTTGTCTTTAAGAGCCAATGAGTAATTTTCCTTAGTTTTTTTCCCCACTGAACCTCATAAATACTCTGATCAAAATGTTTTGAGTTATGTTGAGGCTTAAAATGTGTTTTGCAAACGAAAGCTGATTGATGTCATCCTCTGAGGTAGGCTTACACAGCGGTACTAAATAAAGACTCGTATCTGATTGAAGTTCTAAGCTTTGTGAGTGAAGTACTGCACCCACCTATTCAAGCCTGAGACAGAGCACAGGAGCATATAAAGAAGCGCATAATCTAGTTGATTCACAACAATTTATAAAACTGCATCCACACTTAAGAGAACTGTGGATATTTCATTTTGCGACTCGTCCACAAACGAAGAGCTCCTTCATACTTGCTGTTTCTTGGCTGCAGCCCAGTCCTGCTTCCACAAACCGCACTGAGCCAGTTTTAATGAGGAAGGGATGAATCAGTTTACATCAGCACCAGAGGCTCTGTTTGGAGACACAGGGTCAGGCCTGCTTCCACACGGGGGCAAATTCCAGCCAATCGCATTTAAAAATGTTATTGTAAATAGGACGGAAGCAAACCAGTTTGTAAAGACTGACTTTTTAAACTGGTACACCTAAACACCCCCCTCGAGAATACTGTGGCCCACCCTACAAGGACAGCAGTTGTAGCCTGTAGGAATGTTGTGGACTTTAGACACAGTCAATAAACCTCAATGGCACAGTTACCTCATCCCATCCCCTTCTGTGTATTTGTGTGCGTGTTGTTTAATAGAAGACTAATGCTTTGATGTGATGTCAGTGGTTTCATGGTGATCTATCACCCCTGATAATGGCTCTACCCCAACCACTTTCCAAGTATTCCTGTTCTTATTGGTGAGACGCCACCACAGAGATTAAGGCCCAGGCACTGCTGCACAGTGATGCGATGCATCTCTTGTTTCAGGCTAACATTACTGTGCCCCCCCCCCCCCCCCACTTCTCTACCTCCAGCTGGTGTACGGTGTGTTTGTATTTGCTCTCTCTGCTTCTAAAACACAGCAGTACATCACCAGAACACTCACCTCCGCACCCCGCTGTCCAGTTGACGAAGTGCTCCAGCGCGTTGCGTTTCTTACCTCTTCGCATGCACTTGCATCAGCGTCATCTCCCTGCTCTTCTCTCTTGCCCTCCTTCGTCTTGCTTCCTTCCCGCCATTTTTGTCTTTATCAGGCCGTACATCAGGAAAAACACAACGGCACGCTTCCACTACAGGACAATGAGTGACAGCGCTTAAGCACTGAGACACCTCTACAGTCACACTGCTGGCAGTGACATACACTTATAGCCCTTAATTCCCAGGAGTTTTACTCAGGGGACTTTTCAGTTCTCGGGCTATTAACACAAATACTTTGCTATATATTTATCTGTCACTCTGCTCATTAGGGAAACACTTTGAAAGCCCTAATACTACACATCCAATCACACCTGAGCTAAATGAACATAGATTGTTGCACAGATCTTTAGTCAGTCCCAGTTTGTATGTAACGTTGTTACATAATAATGGCTAGACAAGGTCCCAACCCTAACTTCACGGTCAGAGCAAAGACAGCCCAAAGATTGGGCATGCGGTAGGAACAGTCACGTAAAGGACAACACGGGCATCAGCACAGCTATGTACTCCTGATGAATTCAGTTGGACATGGACGCCACCCTTAATTCACTCGTTACACAGAGCGCCTCACAAGCCAATCACAGGGAGGAGCAGAATGTCACATGTCAATCAATCATCCAATGGGCACTAAGCCCAATTTGGATACTTTGATGCTGAATCAGTGACTGGAAAGACAACTGAATTTTGTTTTCCCCATTAGTAAAAACAACACACACGTCACAGGAAAGCTTCAAAGGAGGATGAACGCTACAGGATGTTAATGTGAAATCGGAGAATGTTACTGAGGAACCGGCAAAGTGTCACGCTAACCGTGCCAGTCTGGCAGGTATAGCCCTGCAACAACAGCGACTGCAGGACAGCATGTGCGCGCGCGCACACACACACACACACACACACACACACACACACACACACACACACACACACACACACACACACACACACACACGTACACTTTGCCTGAGTGTCCACTGGGGCAAAACAGACTGTAGGTTAAAACAGAAAAGAAGCACAAAGTGGATGGGGGGGGGGGACGGCAGCATGGATGCAGTTACAGAACCAGACAGGTGCCAGAACACAACAACACACAGAGAGACGGGTATTAGGAAAAAAATGGTTTAATATTGGAGACAGAAGCAAAAAACAAAACCAAACAAAAACACTGCATCACACAAGAACATACGTTTACAAAAATAAGTCCGACTGCTCCAGCTACACAGGTAAGGTTCACAGCAAAAGGACATAGAAACCTAAAGAACTAAAAGGAAAGAAAAGAACGCTTCTATAGTCTAATACATTTATCCACTTAAGGTGACTAAATACGGCTAAATCCTAAGTTTTTCCCCCGTTATAAACAGCATGATACAGAATAAAATGAAACTTACCGCTCTGTAAATCGACAAACTTCCATTAAGTATTTAACAGCCAAAATAAAAGCAGTCCCACTAAATAACTATAAAGGCGGGACTGTGGGACGTGAATCGCAAAGCCAAAGATCTTTTAAAAAAAAAAAAAAAAAAAAATCTTATATTAAAACGCTTCTTCCTTACCACCATCTCGAAATCGGACTCAGGAACCACTTGTGGCCTTGCCATCTGGCCAGATAACGAGGCCAGACAGTTTTTCAGTTTTTTTTCCTTTAATCTCGGTATAAAAAGTTCCACTAGTACAAAATGCATAAGTACAATCTGTTGTAGAAATAGTTAAGCGGCCTTCAGTTGTACTTTTAAAATCCCATCTATTGACGAAGCCTAATGTGTCATCAAATGAACTGAAAGCGCGGCGACAGGTCCCAGGGGACTTTGGCTCTCAACACAAATACTCAAAACTATGCAAATTCTTAGGAGTCAAACCAAAGAAAATATATTTGTCCACAGGCAAGCTTTCACGGCACAGCAGATAAAATGGGCACATTTTCTCCCCCAAATGCAATAAGCCAAAAAAACCAAAGAAACAAACAAGTTTTTTTTTTTATTGTTTGTCATTGTGGCATCGATTACAAAGGGAACAAAAAAACAAACAAAAAACAGGAGGTTTGAAGTTTGAAGAAATGAGCTCTGCGCCACCGACTGTCGGAGAGGCCCTCTGAGGGGCCCCGTGGGGGCAGCCGTCTCTGGGGACATTGTGCTTCTAAATCGTTCCCCACTAAGGGACCCAATACTCCCTCTCTGCCCAGCACTGTGCTTTTGGGAGCCTCAGAGCTCGTATTTATAGGCTCTTGGGGTTCTGCGGATATTAAAGGGGGGAGAGGGGGTACCTGCAGGAGATGATCTAGGTCCTACATGATGTGTGCGTCGGGGGTGTCACAAAAATGTTACTGTTGAGTCAGATTATCTGTCCCCACCCAACACGGATGTACTACTTTCTGGGGGGGCGGGAGTAAAAGGATTCTATGTGGATTGGCTCGGTAAACAAGGACGGGGTCTTGGAGAATTTTAACAACTGCTAAAAGCAGAGAAGTCCTTATATCTACAGCAGACACGCTTCTGTAGCAACAGTGCTGAACGTCTGCTTCCTCTGTGCTCTGCAGATACCGTGTTTAGGTCATTGACGGCCTCCAAACACTCCCTGTTTCCACCAACACTGATTTACCACACACCTCAACTCATGCTTGTATGCCGTACAATTTAAGGCATGGTTTGCAGTTCCCAGCCTGGGCTCTGCCTGATGATTCCAGCACCTCCCTTACTGCACACTGCCAGACTCAAGGCAAAATTACACCAGGAGCTTAAAATGCCTTCACTGTTTAAGTTCTGGTCCCATCACACCTACAAATCGACCAAGAGACATAATACAGAGCCGGAACCCCCCCCTGAAAATAAGGCCACAGGTGAGCTTGATAAAATACCACCTGAATCCTTTTGACTCTAAACCAGTGTTTCCCAATCCAGTCCTCGGGGACCAACAGATAGCCCAAGTTTTTTGCTGGGAGCTGGGACAGAGCAAAAATGTGGACCGTCTGGCAGGGAGCTCGGAGGGAGCAAAAACATGGACCGACTGTGGATCCCCGAGGACTGGATTTGGAAACACTGCTCTAAACAGATATGGAATCCTGAGGGATAAACTGAACTCTAAACCCGGCCGGCAGACTGGGCTTTGCGTTGCCATTTGACGGTCCTACCTATCCTGATTCAGGCCCCCGTCCCTGAAAATAACGACCGAGGAAGCCGCTGTTCTCGGTGATAAAAACGGGGAAATAAAGCCGAAACGAACCCTGAAATACTTCAAACAGCGGAACACCTTCCGTTACCTTTGTTTGATGACCGATTAAAGATGGATTCACATGAAGCCTACAGTACGAGCACAGACCATCAGAGAAATACAATCATCTCCCTCTCACAAGCTCATTAAGAGGGACAACTCCTCTCTCCCGTGACCCAGAGGATCACTGCTCCTCTGCACACCCTCTGCCCAGTTGTGCCTAGCTATCCGCTACAGGCAGAGGGGCTTTTCAGAGAACAGGCTCGCTAATGCTAACTGCGACAAGCTCTCTCCTCTGAGGCCGGCGCCCCCTGGTGACAGCTGAGGAGACACCCTGCACCTGACTGACAAAGACTACAGGGCTCCACATGTCCCCCCCCCTCACAATAAATGGTGGCATGTGCCTGTGCACACCTGCAGACTGTGACTGCCAGAGGTCAATGGAAGGGGTCTGCCTGTAGGGGGCATAACCACAAAGGGCTTCCGCAATGAATGCAGATGGAGAGCGGATTGTGAGGTTTGCCTTTACAGCACAGGAAGCGTGTCTGTGAGAGTGTGTGTGTGTACATGTGACAGACGGGCACTTTTTCCATCCTTACCAAAAAAACGAATAAAAAGCAAACAACATTAACAGTTCCAGGCAACAAGACCACAGAATAGCAAGTTAAGCTTTTTTTTTTTCTTTTTTTTTTAAACTGTGTCTTTAAATATAATGGATCCATACAAAACACGTAAGTAATAAAATACCCATGTTATCAAATAAGTTCACCCAAAGTACACTGAAGATTCAGGCCAGGAGACCTCTGAGTTTTGGCACTAAACTCCACTTAACTTTTTTTTCTCTTTATAAGAAAAGAAAAAAGGGAAAAAAAAAATCACATTTTGCCGAACAACAAAACACATTTACAAATTGTTTCCCACAATAGAAAGAAAAAAAATAATAATACTGACAGCGCTTACAAACGATACTCCACTTTTTGGAATTGCAAACAGCGAATTACCAAACAAGAATTAGCGCAAATAGAGAAAGAAAAGAAAAACAAAAGAAACAAGAGTATTATAGCAACAATCATAATATGAAGGCTTCATCTATTGTTCAAGTAAACCAAATTTTAGTTCTGTCTTTAAAACATAAAACAGTTAAGACCCTTGGACTTGTAATGACTCCACAACGTAATTCACAAAAAGCACCAACGTTAATGCAAGTTACCCCTGTTTTGTTTTTTTGTTTTTTTACTTTTAAACCCCCCCAATCTATACATTTAGACAGTATAAAATATAAGTCATTTCTTTTGCATTTAACCACGGATTGTCTAACTATGAGTCAGTTCAGCAAAAGGTGACATGAACAGGTAGCTTCCCTCCAAACAGGGCAAATCTTTATTTCATATATATATATATTTTTTTAGTTTTTGTCTTTTTTAACTTTAAACTACTCTAGAAAAAAAAGTGGTTCTGTCAATAGATTTGAATGAGAAAGTCACTTGAAATGGCCTTATCAAAATCTTTACACTGCCTGAAAAATGTAAAAACCATTACAGAGCTCTGAGAGATTAATACTACTCACACAGTTTGTTTTTTCTTCAGAACTGTTTGGAAGTAGTCTGTTTGCCTTAGAAACCGACACTGCGCCCCCCGACCCCTGGCAGCGGGCGGGAGAGCAAACGCCGATCCCTATGTTGTACTTTCAAGTTTATTTTCATCAATTTAAAAAACAAAACAAAAACAAAACAAAACAAAACAAAAAGTCCAACATGGAGACAATGCAAAACAAACCCCCCCCCCCCTTTGTAGAATAGCCTTTCCTGTTCCATTTCAGGCTTTTTCACACAGAATTCCCACCCGCCCAATCCTGCCTTCAATGTTCAAAAAAGTCAAAATGAGGTCATGCAAAAAAACTCCAAAAAAGATCAAGTTAGGTTCAGGAGGTCAGGAAGAGGAGATCAGGTTATGATCGGGTGAGCTGGGAAAGACATCGGGACAGAATGAGGAGACGATGGGCCTGACTCTGGGGGGGCGGACGCTGGGGGCTGACGGCACGCAGACATGCGAGCGAGCAAACGATGGGCAAACAGGCATGGGGCTGGTCTAGGGGAGAGAACAAGGCAAAGGAGACGGTTACACACAGAGTCGCCACGGCAACGGAACATCCATCACATCCATCACGGAGACGGGCCACAGGACGACGGAGACGGTAGCACGGTCAGGATAATTGGCACTGCACACTTTACGTTTTGTATCGAAATAATACACATACAGGAGAAATCACATTAAAAACAGAATCGCACACACAGACAAAGCCACACACTCTCTGCAGCCAAAGAGATCCATCGGGGACCAGGGTCCAATGGGACGCAAGGAGATGGATGCCGTTTTGGAAGAGAGAGACTGACGCAAAAGACGACGTGGGAACAAGGCCGCACAGCGAAAGGGGTAAGACAGCATGACAGGAGAGATAGAGAGAGAGAGAGAGAGCGCGAGACAGAGAGGACGAGCAAAGCAGACAGGTGTGACTGTGGCTCCAGAGAGCAGATGGGATTTCTGTTCTCTTGGCACGAGACTCTGGATTCTACAGGACTCCTTCAGAAGGCTTCGCATCTGCCAGATCTGCTCATTAAGTATCCAATAAATTAACAGCAGGCAATAAATAAAGTCTTTTTTTGAGGCAGTAAAAATTTTGTATAAAAATAGAACTGCTTTTTTTACAAACATAATGTACAGGCCAGCGGCTTTCAGTACTTGAACTTTATCTTCCGAGAGACATCAAGTACCTCTGCCCCGCCCTCGGTGACACGCCTCCTTCAGAGAGCTTCCGCATTTCCAGATCTGCTACCCACGAATCCCGTTTTTTTTTAAATAAAGACCAATGTGATCTGACCTAGTAATGAATAGTCTAATTCTTTGCTAAATAAAAATCACCGCTAACGTTAAACGTGGTTGGAAAGCATTCGGTTTTGGTGCCGGCGACGACGGGCAAGACCAGTGTGGCATTAAGCCTGTACACCCCAGTGCCAGGGCAGGGACTAGGGCCCCCCCTTCTGGCACCAGGGCGTGAGGTCAAAGTGCAAACGCCTGCCTCTAACAGAAATTTAAAAAAGAAAAAAAAAAAAAAAAACAGTCACCATCCCAGGTTCGTTAAGAGAACACTGTTGATTTTTTTCCCCAACAGTTAATAAATAGTTGACAAAAAAAAAAAATTTTTTTTACACAACTAAAAAGCTAATAACAGCGGTTTGTCCATTGAAAGTCTATGAAAAACTAATAATGGGAATGGAAGCGTTTGTGTAGAAAAATATAAACAGAACAAAACAAAAAAAAAAAACAGCATCAGGCTCAGTAACGAATAAAAAACAAAACAGGAGACTTTGTCTCCCTCTGGTGGTGAGAGGCAGTCAGACCCCGGTGGCTCGTGGAGGACTTACCCTAGCAGTGCTAATACGGGAGCGCTAAGGGCCCTAGTGCTAAGATCAGTACGGTTTGCTGTCATTCTTGGAGCGCTTCAGCTGCACCTTGAGCCGCTTCATGCCGATCTGGAAGCCGTTCATGGCCTGGATGGCGGCCTGGGCCGACACCGGATTATCGTAGCTGACGAAGCCTGGGATGGGGGGGGGGGCAGGGGAAAATGAGATGGAGGAGAAAAACACGCAATGAGAAAGACAACGTGATTGTGCCTTTGCACAGTCTTTGTCCAATGCACTCCGAAGAGCCCTGGCGTGGGAGGTGTGGGGGCCGGGACTGGAACAGGCGATTGCTGACCAGTCTAGCAGTGCGTTGGAGTGTGTGGGAGCACGTCGCAGCATATGGAAGTGTGTCGTGGCATGTGGAGGCGTGCCGGAGTGTGTCGTGGCATGTGGAGGCGTGCCGGGGCGTGCCGGAGTGTGTCGTGGCATGTGGAGGCGTGTCGGGGCGTGCCGGAGTGTGTCGTGGCATGTGGAGGCATGTCAGGGAGTGCCGGAGTGTGTCGTGGCATGTGGAGGCGTGCCGGAGTGTGTCGTGGCATGTGGAGGCGTGTCGGGGCGTGCCGGAGTGTGTCGTGGCATGTG